TTCTTCCTCTTCTTAAAGGATACCTTTCAGCATTTCATATAATACTGGTTTGGTGGTGATGAACTCCTTTAGCTTTTTCTTATCTGTGAAGCTCTTTATCTAACCTTCAATTCTGAATGATAGCTTTGCTGGGTAAAGTAATCTTGGTTGTAGGTTCTTGGTATTCATCACTTGGAATATTTCTTGCCACTCCCTTCTGGCCTGCATAGTTTCTGTTGAGAAATCAGCTGACAGTCGTATGGGTACTCCCTTGTAGGTAACTGACTTTTTTTCTCTTGCTGCTTTTAAGATTCTTTGTCTTTTGCTCTTGGCATTTTAATTATGAAGTGTCTTGGTGTGGTCCTCTTTGGATTCCTTTTGTTTGGGGTTCTCTGCACTTCCTGGACTTGTAAGTCTATTTCTTTCACCAGGTAGGGGAAGTTTTCTGTCATTATTTCTTCAAATAGGTTTTCAATATCTTGCTCTCTCTCTTCTTCTGGCACCCCCATAATTCGGATGTTGGTACGCTTGAAGTTGTCCCAGAGGCTCCTTACACTATCTTCATATTTTTTAATTCTTTTTTCTTTTTGTTTTTCCGGTTGGGTGTTTTTTGCTTCTTCGTATTTCAAATCTTTGACTTGATTCTTGCAATCTTCTAGTTTGCTGTTGGAACTCTGTATAATATTCTTTATTTCAGTCAGTGTATGCTTAATTTCTAGTTGGTCCTTTTTCATAACCTCGAGGGTCTCACTAGATTTCTTGAGGGTCTCACTAAGTTTATCGGCAGTTTCTAGAGAATTCTTGAAAAACCTTAAAAGTGCGGTTTTGAACTCTATATCCAGTAGTTAGCTTTCCTCCATTTCTGTCATTTGTGACCTGTTTCTTTGTCTCCGCATTTTTTATGCTTCCCTGTGTTGATAGAGTGGCTTTGTGTGCTAGGTGTCCTATAGGGCCCAGTGGCTCAGCCTCCCCAATTACCTGAGGTGGACACTCTTGGTGCACCCCTTTGTGGGCTGTGTGCACAGACTTGTTGTAGTTAAGCCTTGATTATTGTAGGTATCACTGGGAGGGATTGACCTTCAGGCCAATTGGCTGTGAGAATCAGCTGTGTCTGCAGTGGGAGAACTTCTGTGCTGGAGACACCCTTCTGGGGCAAGACTTGCTTCAGTGGGGCTTTGGTGCTCACTGAGTGTGGTCAAATTCTTGATATATTTTGAAGATGGAACCAGCAGATTTGCTTATAGTGGAATGTGGGGTGTTGGGAGGGAAAGAGTCACTGTTGGCTCCAACGTTTTAGGCCTGGGTACTTGGAAGACAAACTTGCAGGGCACTGAGATGGGGAATGCTGTAGGTGGGGCAGGGTTTTGGTGGGAAGATTCTTTTGGGATGTGTATTCGGCATTCAAGTAGAGAGGCCAGTAATAGGATAGTTGGAGAGATGCATTTGGCATTCTGAGAGAGGTCAGGGCTGGAGACATAACTAATGGGCATCGTCAGTATAGGAGGATGAGATTCACTCTGAGGAGGGAGGGGGGAAGTGGAGAAGAGGACACGGGACCGAGACATGGACACCTCAACAGTAAGAGGTGGGAGAGGCCAAAACCGGTTTGGCTCAGTGGATAGAGCGTTGGCCTGTGGACTGAAAGGCCCCGGGTTCGATTCCAGTCAAGGGCATGTACCTGGGTTGCGGGCACATCCCCAGTAGAAGATGTGCAGGAGGCAGCTGATCGATGTTTCTCTCTCATCGGTGTTTCTAACTCTCTATCTCTCTCCCTTCCTCTCTGTAAAAAAATCAATAAAGATATATTTAAAAAAAAAAAGAGGTGGGAGAGAAGAGGCGGACTCGGCAGAGATGATGGGAAGGAGTAACAGTGAGGTGGGAGGAAGACCAGGAGGCCGTGGTGGTCAGGAGCCCAAGGGAAGCGTGCACGTACAAGAGAAGGAAGGGAGAGCTCAGCAGGCAGAGCAAGTGAGATGAGGACTGAGAACTGGACACTGGATTTAACAATGGGAAGGCCATTGACAAGTTTGGGTTTTTTTTGCGGTTGGGGGGGGGGGAGGCAAAGCCTGATTAAAGTGAGTTTAAGAGACAAGAGTAATAGAGGCAAAGATCAAGGACTTGCTAGGCTATAGTGTTAGAAAATTTACTCATGTGTTTTGTAAAACAAAGAGGTTAAAGGTAAAAGAAGAGAAGTGAGCTTGGTGTCAAAAGTTATTAGTAAATATGGAAAGGGACCTGGAGGCAGTCTCTCCAGAAATAGCCTCATCGATGCAGTTAAAAGTCACAATATTCAAATCATTCTCACAGTTAGAGGTTTCCCAGACCAATAATCTAGGAAAACCATGTTCATCTCAACCGATAGAAGCCCCTGGATACATATTTTAGAAACAGATGTGGCCTGTGGCAGAGACATCTACTTTTTCTCTCCACAGAGCTGGCATTTTGTTCATTGATCAGCATATACAACCTGCTACTGAGAGCCACGTCCACATTCTAATGATGGATCTTTGAGGCCAGGGGGATACTAACCACAGAGGTGTGGTGAACTGGGGTGACATGCTCATTTTCAGTGGAAGGAATTCAAAACCTACTCGGTTCTATTAGTATAGACGTCTAGAAACAAGATAAATAACAAAATATCATGAAGCTCAAGAAATTGAAGAAATAATCTCTGGACGCTTCTTTCCCCCACCCCCACCCCGCCCCAGGTACACATCTGCCATTTCCCCGTACCCTGAAGAAGTCTCACCGGATGGGTGTGGTGGGTCCTTCTGGTCCATCCATCTCATAAGAGAAAACAGTGTCCCATACAAATTGCAGATGCCAGTTGAAAGCTCCTCTTACAATAGGAGAGGGATAGTAGTTCAGTGTCAGGTGGTCAATGGAATCCACCATGGGACACACCACCATTTTGCGGTCCTTGGCGATGGCGGACAGCAAGGGCTCCAGCCAGACTCTGTTCACTTCACAGTGGCTGTCCAGGAACACCAGCACGTCCCCTGGGGAGGCAGGAACAGGCTCGTGTTCACCATGTGGATGAAACACCTCACAACCCAAGCCAAAGCCCAACACAACCAGTTTGTGGAATATTTGCTGTGTGTTTGTCTCTCAAGGTGCTTTCAATCCCACTGGGGGGAGAGAAGAGACACATATTTTGTACCAAAATATGGGACATCATCCACTACAGATGTGCAGAGGGAGCAGGGGAACCGCGGGTTAGAGAGTAGGTTTGGGGAAGATTCTAAAGAAGCAGGGAGAACTGAGCTAGCCTTCGATTAAAACTATTTTTTATCTGGGCTTTGACCACTCAGCTCAATTGAGCTGACATCGCCTACATATTTGAAATAACAAATAGATGTTTTGACTTTCAGTCAAAAGAAAATTAAATTCTCATGGGACTCAAATACAGGTCCAGGCTCTGTTTAGGCGCGTGGAGATGTGGAGGGCCTCTGGGGGGGGGGGGTTCTTTTCCGGGGAGGGGGGGTGGGGGGGACGCGGAAAGGCCTCATGTCCCCAGGGAAGTGTTCATACCTGAAGCTCGGGCCGCTCCAATCAGCCTGGCGCGAATCAGCCCCTCTCTCTTTGTGGTTCTTATGACTTTAATCTTTCCCCGAAACATTTCCAGGGGATAGTCTAGTTTTTCTTTCAAATCATCTGAGGGGAAGCAAGTGCAAGACTTGACAATGTGTAAACAATAACTGCAGAAATGAAAACAGCTGAGCACAATTTTTTTTAAATATATTTTATTGATTTTTTTACAGAGAGGAAGGGAGAGAGACAGAGAGCCAGAAACATCGATGAGAGAGAAACATAGATCAGCTGCCTTCTATACACCCGCACTGGGGATGTGCCTGCAACCAAGGTACATGCCCTTGACCGGAATCGAACCTGGGACCTTTGAGTCCGCAGGCAGACGCTCTATCCACTGAGCCAAACCGGTTAGGGCCTGAGCACAATTTTGATTGATTCCTAAAAACCATGGTAATCCGAGAGGTTCTCACTTGAAAGGAAAATGTTATTCTACGTGAGGAAGAGAAGGAAGAGCATTTCAGCACTGAAGTCGGCTGTAAATATCCTTTTGCTCCTAGTGACATAGCTCTATTTCAATAAATCACTCTGACAATTTTAATTGAAGCACGAGTTATGGTGTTTTGGAGCAGTCTGGCTTTATTACTTACAACTGCGCTTCTACCTGGGTGGTAACTCTTACCCAAGTTATCAAACCACTTGAGTCTCAGTTCCCTCGGTACCTAACAGTCGCTCAATATTTAGAGCAGCGGTTCTCAACCTTGGATGCACATTAGAATCACCTGGGAATCTTTTTAAAATCCTGATTTCTGGGCCTCATCCTCCGGAAATTGTTTCTTTGTTATGGGGTGGGGCCACAACATTAGTAACAAAGAAACAGAATTTCCGAAGGATGAGGCCCAGAAATCAGGATTTTAAAAAGATTCCCAGGTGATTCTAATGTGCAGCCAAGGTTGAGCACCACTGATCTAGATAATTCCAATTCACCCTTGCAGCCCTCAGTTTAGATGTCACTTCTTCCTGATTGTCATCAATGATCTCTAAAGCCCAGGTGGGTGCCCCTACGTTTACCTCATGGAAGCACTAACCACCCAATGTGCCCAATAATGTAAGACCGGTTCTTACACCCACACCAGCGTCGCAATAGCATGTAGCTCAGTGCCTGCCTCAACACCACCCAAAACTGTTGTGTACAATAACTCACATGCCAGCAGAGATAGCACTGCCTTCCAAGTGGATTAGGCAGACGACTAGTGTTCTGTCTTACCAAATTCGCTCATGTCATCTACCAAAATAACTTCTTCAAGGATCTGGTGTGGAGTGAGGGTCATGACACTGGACACTGTCCGAAACAAGGTATTGAATTCTTCATTGTGGAAACAAATGACAATGCTGGCGGTAGGTAGCCTGGCTGGGTAACGTTTTTTAAGACACCTGTAGGCATATATGAGAAGAAGAAAAATGATTCATGTTTTGGGATTGCAGCTAACCTGGTTTCAAACTATATTACAAAGCTATAGTAACCAAAACAATATGGTATTGGCATAAAAATAGACATGTGGATCAAAGAAACAGAATAGAGTCCAGAAATAAGCCCATGAATATATGCTCAATTAATTTATGACAAAGGAGGCAAGAATATACAATGGGGTAAAGACAGTCTCTTCTATAAATTGTGTTGGGAAAACTGGACAGCCACATGCAAAAGAATGAAACTGGACCACTATCTTACACCATACACAAAAATCAATTCAAAATAGATTAAAGACTTGAATTAAGACCAGAAAGCATAAAACTTCTAGAAGAAAACATAGGTGGTAAGCTCATTGAGATCAGTCTTGGTGATGATTGTTTGGTTTTGACAAAAATAAGGGCAACAAAAGCAAAAATAAATAAGTTGGACTGCATCAAACTAAAAAGCTTCTGCATTACAAAGGTGAGCCATTAATAAAATGAAAAGGTAACATAGTGAATGAGAGAAAATATTTGCAAATCATATACCTGGTAAGGGGCTATATCTAAACTATATAAAGAACTCACACAACTCAATGGCAAACAAACAATATGATTTGTTAAATGGGCAGAAGATCTGAATAGGTATTGTTCTAAAGAATACATACAGATGGCCAACAGGTACACAAAAAGATGCTCAACATCACTAATCATCAGGGAAATGCAGATCAAAACCAAAATGAGATATCCCCTCACACCTGTTAGAATGGCTGTTATAAAAAAGACAAGGAATAACAAGTGTTGGTGAGGCTGTGGAGAAAAGGGAGCCCTGGTGCTCAGTGGGTAGGAATGAATTTAAATTGGTGCAGCCACTATAGAAAACAGTATGGAGCTTCCTCCAAAGTTAAAAATAAAACTGCCACATGGTTCAACAATTCCATTATAGGTACTTATCTGAAGATAACAAAAACACTACCTCGAAAAGCTATCTGCACCCCCATGTTCATTACAGCATTACTTACAATAGCCAACACATGGAAACAATCCAGTGTCCACTGGTGGATGAATGGATTAAAAAAGGTTATAATAAAACCATAAAAAGTTCCATCAAAAAATGGAACCATAAAAAGAAGGAAATCTTGCCATTTGCAACAACATGGATGGACCTTGAGGGCATTATGCTAAGTAGAATAAGTCAGAAAAAGACAAATTCATATAATCTCACTTACATGTGGAATCTAAACAACAACTCCCATATCCTTCCCCCACTTACCCCCCCCCCCCCCCCCCGCCCGCCCGGAAAACCAAGCTCATAGATACAGGGAACCGATTGCTGGTTGCCAGAGGCAGAGGGTGGGTGAAATGAGTGAAAGGACCAGGTCAAAGATACAAACTCCCAGTTATAAAGTAAGTAAGTCCTGGGGTGTACAGACAGCATGGTGACTGTAGGTAATACCACTGTATTGCATATTTAAAAGTTGCAAGGAGAGCCTGGCCAGCGTGGCTCAGTGTTTGAGTGCCGACCCATGCAACAAGAGGTTGCTGGTTCAATGCCCAGGTTTCCGTCTTGATCCCCAGCAGGGGGTGTGCAGGAGGCAGCCAATCCATGTTGATGTTTCTTTCTCATTGATGTTTCTATCTCTCTTTCCCTCTCCCTTTCTCTCTTTATAAAATCAATGAAAACATATTTAAAAAAATAAAGATAAAAGTTGCGAGGAGAATTGATCTTAAAAGTTCTCACCACAAGAAAAAAATATATTTTGAAACGATGTATGGTGACTGATGTTAACTAAATTTATTGTGATTATTTTACAATATACACTAATATAAATTCATTATGTTGTACACCTAAAACTAATATAATGTGATATGTCAATTATATTTCAATACAAAAGAAATGGAGAAACATACATTTTATCTCTGGTATCTGGCACATCTCTCTGATTGCCCAAGCTTTTACTGATAATGGTATTAAGTCCATATAGTAAAATCCCATGAAGAAATTCTGGGTCCGAATAGTTAAAATTCTCATCTGTAAGAATAGGTAATTAGAGTCACTAAGTATTGGCTTACTACCATCACTTTGATATAGGGATGACATTGTTTACATATTTTTATTGATTTCAGAGAGGAAGGGAGAGGGAGAGATAGAAACAGCAATGATGAGAGAGAATCATTGATTGGCTGACTCCTGTATGCCCCCTACTGGGGATTGAGCCTGCAATCTGGGCATGTGCCCTTGATTGGAATCGAACCCGGGACCCTTCAATCCACAGAGCCATCCACTGAGCCAAACCAGCTAGGGCAAAGGGGTGATATTTTTTTAAAAGGGGTGATATTTTTAAGTCTACCTATTAAAATTTATCTTTTATGAAAAACAGAAAGCTACCTAAACAAATATAACAAACTGTATTTAAAAATTGTTAAATTCAGGTGCTAAATGTATACACACCTATTCTATTATTTTTTGTATACAGCATATAAAAATATTTCATAATTTAAAAATTGAATTGGTCTAAAAGGATATTCTCTCTTGCAAATATTAAATATATGACATATTTCCCCTTAAAATGGCTAACAGAGAAATTCAAAATAGTTACCTAATTTTAAAAATGGACGCCATTCTTCAGTTTGATCTTTGTTAGGTCTTTCAGTTCTTACATATTGTCCTGGTATTTGCCTTGAGCGTGGTATTTGCCCTGCGCTGTGGATAGCTTGCTGTTGCAACTTTTTATCAAGTTTCCAAATTGATGCAGGCGCCTGCGTTTTCTTCTGCCAGTTGCTCACATGATCATGGTGAAGATGTACATATAACAGAGCTGACAAGATCCCAAGTGTCAAGGTTCCACAGAGTAAACACAGGACTGTGACATTTCGCATTGTAAATCTAGCATTTTTTAGGGTCCATTTTTAAATTTCCTAAAGCAGAAGGATTTGGGAGAAGCTGTATTAGACATTTCAATGGTTTGTAGGGTCATCTACTTGACTTAAATTCCATTTTCAGCATTTTAAAAACAATCATTTTGCTATAGATGCTTATTATGTATTTTGATAAGATAGTATACTTTCTTCTATTATCAGCAACTCTTAAAACTGATATTCATAAGATTACAAAACATAAAAATGTGTAAGATGCTTATAAAACATATAATATAATTAGAAGTCACTGGTCGATACTCCTGAGCATGTAGTTAATAGAAATAATGTGAAAGGTTTACGCATCAGTCCATCTTGGGGTGATAGTCTCCATTTTAAAAATCTGATTTAACATCATTCAGACTGTTAAAAACATAAAAATACAATATCACATGCTGTGTGAATACAATATTCATACAATATTCACAACATGGGGAAATGGGCAGTGAAAACTGTGGTACAGCCCTGAGGGACGGTGAAATGGTGCACGGAGTTAGGTTGAATCTGTACATAAGGTACACATCCGTAGGAGTGCACCCTGGGGAGACTCTCACGAGACATGCATGAGCACGATTCTTGAAGTCATGTTTGTAATAGAAACAGGACACAGCTTATGTTTCTCTCTACAGAAGAACTGGTAAAGGGAGGCTGTTCCATCAATACTGGGAATGAACCAACTGCAGCTCTATGGATTAATATTGTGAAATATCAGAAACCAATGTTTTCCAAAAACAAATAGGGTCTGATGCTACCGATATACATTTGCAAAACATGAGAAGCAGTGCAATTGTTTATGGCCACACCATATCCAGCAAATAATGGGGTGGGGCAGGAGTGCACACAAATATACACAGGTTTAGCATAGTGATTGCTCCCATGGGGGAGGATCCAGGGGAGGAAAATGAGAGCTCCTAATGCTTAAAAAAGTACACACACACTCACACCACACACAGACACCCCTCTGAGCCCTGTCTAGGTCGCTCAGTTGGTTAGTGCGTTGTCCTGATATGCCAAGGTTGCAGGTTCAATCCCGCGTCAGGACACATATACGAATCAACCAATGAATGCATAACTAAGTACAACAATAAATCGATGTTTCTCTCTCTCCCTCTCTCACTCCAAAAATCAAATAATAAAGCTCTGAAGTGGATGTGTCAAAACAATGAAGTTTGACAAATCTTGGTGAGGTGTACATGGTGTGTGTGGTATTTTTCTCTATATTTCCCTTAGGTTGGAAATACTTCATAATTTATGAGATTAATTATGACTTCTGGCTCTTCTCCCTCATGTCTCTACTAGGGATGAAAGTAAAGCTGAAGCCCCAGGGCAAAGGAAACTAAGGAGAAAATAACATATGGGACTACATCAAAATAAAAAGCTTCTGCACAGCAAAAGAAGCCACCAACAAAATGAAAAGGGAGCCCACTGTGTGGGAGAACATATTTGGCAATGATACATCTGATAAAAGGTTAATCTCCAAAATATATAAGGAACTCATACACCTTAACAAAAGGAAGACAAACAATCCAACTAAAAAATGGGCAGAGGACCTAAACAAACACTTGTCCAAAGTGGACATACAGATGGCCAAGAGACATGAAAAAATGCTCTAAGTCACTGATCATCAGAGAGATGCAAATTAAAATGACAATGAGTATCACCTCACCTGTCAGAATGGCTACAATCAACAAATCAACAAATGACAAGTGCTGGAGAGGATGTGGAGAAAAGGGAACCCTCGTGCACTGCTGGTGGGAATGCAGACTGGTGCAGCCATTATGGAAAACAGTATGGAGGTTCCTTAAAAAATTAAATATGGAACTGCCATTGACCCAGTGATTCCATTTCTAGGAACATATCCTAAGAAACCTGAAACACCAATCAGAAAGAATGTATGCACCCCTATGGTCATAGCAGCACAATTTACAATAGCTAAGATCTGGAAACAGCCCAAGTGCCCATCAGTAGATGAGTGGATAAAAAGCTGTGGTACATTTACACCATGAAATACTATGTAGCTGTAAAAAAGAAGAATCTCTTACCCTTTGAGACAGCATGGAGGGAGCTGGAGAGTATCATGCTAAGTGAAATAAGTCAGTCAGAGAAAGACAAGTATCACATGATCTCACTTATATGTGGAACCACACTCATATGTGGAATCTAAGTAACAAAATAAACTGATGAACAGAGTGGATCCAGAGACATGGAAGCATGGGACAGAGTGCAGAATCTTGGCGGGAAGGTAGGGGAAGGTGGGTGAGTGGGAGGTAATCAACCAAAGACCTTGTATGCTTATATGTGTAACCCATGGACGCAGCTAGTGGGGTAGTGAAGGTCTGGGGCGGGGGGTGGGTGTGAGCTAGAGGGGGTCAATGGGGGGAAAAAGGGAACAAATGTAATACTTTCAATAATAAAAATTTAAAAAAATATATAAAACTAAAGCCTTGTCCAGGTGGCTCAGTTGGTTGGAATGTCATCCCATACACCCAAAGGTTGAGGGTTCGATTCCTGGTCAGGGCACATACCTAGGTTGTGGGTTTGAACCTGTTTGGGGTGCATGCGAGAGGCAACCAATGGATGTTTCTCTCACATCGATGTTTCGCTCTGTCTTTCCCTCTCTCTTCCACTTTCTCTAAAAATCAATGGAAAAATATCCTCGGGTGAGGATTAAAAAAATGAAAATAAAAATAATAGTAAAGCTAAAAACCCTCCTGGGGAAAGAATAGATAAAGGACTGCATGAGATTGTAGCACAGGTTTGGAAGACAGAAGGCTATGGACATGTGATAAAGATTTTAGATGGACAGAGGAAATCACAGTCCGAGCGCGTGGTGACAGGACCCTGAGGGGGGCCGAGTCCAGCAGATCCCCGAGCAGCTTGGGACGTGGAGGTACAGGCATGTCGGCCGACACATGGAGGGGCGGGTTCAGGAAAGGCCATGAGTTCACGTGCAGAACAGTCCATTCTCCCGCCCTGCCCTGCACAGACCCCGCAGACGGAAGCCTGCAGGGGCTGAGAACTGCAGAAGGCAACCTGGGGCTCAAGACCATCTGGCCCACATGGCCCTGTTTCCACCGCACACAGGGTCCTGGCAGCCAGCTTGTTGTACCCGAGGCAGCAGCCGGGAGAATTATTCCATGGTGAGAAGACAGGCCCCAGAGAAAACCTCCACATGCTGAAACGTGGGGGTGACCCACAGAGCGGCCGACGGCCGTGTGTCACCTCGAGGACACACACCTGTAGCCTGGGTCACACAGACTCCCAGAGATGCCAATCGGCGGTTAGCATCTCACTTTTCCATGGGAATGGAATGCTGCCACGAGTGAATGGTGTCCCCCAAACATCATATGTTGAAATACTAACGCTCACTGCCCACATTTGGAGATGGGGTCCCTGAATAAGGTCAGACGGGCGGGCCCTGATCCAATCTGATGGGTGTCCTTATACGAAGACCAGAAGAGACCCAGGGGTGCAAGCACAGAGGGAAGGCCATGGGAGGATGCCGCGAGAAGGTGGCCATCTGCAAGTCAAGGACAGGAGGTGCTGAGAATGAGACTCTAAAGTGGGATTTGGCCTGGCTTGTGTGGCTCAGTGGTTAGAACACCGGGCCTCGTATCAAAGGGTTGAGGGTTCGATTCCCAGGCAAGGGCACGTACCGAGGTTGCAGGTCTGGGTGTGTGTGGAGGCAACCAAGCGATATGAGTATGTCACATGAGGTTTCTCACTCTCTCCCTTCTTCCTTTCCTCCCTCCCTAAAAAAAATAAATGGAAAAAATATCCTCGGGTGAGGATTAACAAAAAAATAAAATGAAATGGGATTTGGGAGCTGGTCACTGCTCAGCTGGCGGCCCCGAGGACCCCACTGCTGGTGGAGAGGTGGCGTTCCCATCGCCCTGGAACGCTGTGGCAGGGTCCTCGTTACAACTCAGTGGCGGCCACCGGGATGGAATACTGGTGGGAAGGAATGTTCTGAGAGGCGGGGCGGGAGCAGCAATAAGTACACGGCCCAGATGGCTGTTGCTTGATGCTGTGGCGGCATTTGAAGAAGGCAGTGAAAGGCTGAGTGTGAGGCGTCACCACCAGAGGGCCTCCCGAATGGCATGGGAAGGGACTCAGCCCTACCTCCAGCTGGCAGGGCAGGCAGGGCCATGCCCAGGGCGTGTGAGTAAGGGCAGCAGAGTCCGGGGAAGGCTGACTTCTCAACCCTGGCTCTTCTTCCCAGGGGGGAAGGAGGCTCGGAGACTCAGGATGGGACGTCTGGGTGGGATCACGTCTGAAACCCTAGACCAGTGATGGCGAACCTTCTGAGCTCGGCGTGTCAGCATTTTGAAAAACCCTAACTTAACTCTGGCGCCGTGTCACATATAGAAATTTTTTGATCTTTGCAACCATAGTAAAACAAAGATTTATATTTTTGATATTTATTTTATATATTTAAATGTCATTTAACAAAGAAAAATCAACCAAAAAAATGAGTTCTCGTGTCACCTCTGACACGCGTGTCATAGGTTCGCCATCACTGCCCTAGACCCACAGGGACCCTCTGGGCCTACAGAAATGGCCCCTCCTCCCTGTCAGAGGCCAGCTCTCCCCCTCTGCTTGAGGGTGATGGAGAGGCCTCTGCTTTGCAAGGCAACATGTGTCCTCCATCCTCAGGCTCACCCCCCAGGTCCTCGCCTGGGCACCAGCTCAATGACTAGGGTCAAGTGACAACACAGCCTGGCCTGGGATGTGCTGGGCTGCTCAGGGAACGGAGAGTGTTCCCTGAGGAAGCAGGCAGCTCCACCAGCCCACCTGGCAGTCGGGGGCTGGGCCTGCGCTGAGGCCTGACCCCCCTGGGTCAAGGGAGGGGATATGAAGTTGGATGAGGGGAAGTTTGCTAATATGGGCGCATTCTCCCAGGACACAGTGTTTAACACCTTGACAAAGATCCTGGTTGCACAATAAATGCTTATTGATGGAAT